ATTAATAATAATATAAATATTATATTATTATTTATTTATGAATGATAATGATATATTTTATATGATTAATATATTATAATGAAATATTTATTTTTGAATGAATACAATTAAGATGATATTCTAATATTTAAAATAAAATTAAATATAATAAATACTTTGATATTCAATTTATTTATCATCATATTTTCAATATTCAAATTATATTTATATTTAAACAATATTTATTTCTTTTGTTTAATATATAATTAATTTTAAATCATAATAAACATTAGATGTTATAATTTATATTTAATATATTAATATTAATTGTATATCATAGAATTTAATTTATATTTTCATTATATGATTATTATATAATTATTGATATAATTTTGTATTCATATGTTGATTTTAATATATTTTCATAATTTATGAATGATTATAATTTCTATTTATTCATGATATATTAAATAAAACAATGTATATCTTTATTATCATATATTATTATTGATGTTATTTTTATTTGATTTTCATCATTATAAAATATAATTATTAATATCAATGAATATGATTGATTATGATAATCTAATATCAATATAAAATAATATAAATTGTTAATTTATATTATATTAATAAATGAAATGAAATATAATATAAAATTAAATATAAATTAATTATTAATTGTTATTTCATTTATTTTATTATACAATAATAATATTATTTCATCAATTATTTAACTAATAAATGTATTTATGAATAATTTAATAATGTATTTATGATATTCATCATAAAATATCAATAATTTAATAAAATATTAAATTATATTTATTTCATTTTTAAATTAATTTTATATTAAATTAATTTAATCTTATTCTTTTATTTATTCATTTTCTTTATCATTGTTTATATTTTCTTTGTTTATTTCATTACATTCTTTATTTTACTTCTTTATTCATTTGAATTTTATTCTTTCTTTTATCCATGTTTATTTTATTTCTTATTAACCATTTCTCTGTTTTCTATTTAAATTAACCATAATGAAATTTAAATCATTTGATTTTTGTATTTTATTTCAATTAACCAAATACTGAATTAGTGTTATTGTTTCCTCAGTTACATTACCACACATTTTCCAGATGATTTTTGGGGTGGTTTAACTTCTGTTTTGTCTTGATAACTTATCACTTTCCATTCAGTGTAAGTAATTTCTCCATCGAATCCAGTTCTTTTCTCTCTTTCAATACGGTATATTCGTAACTTTATGTAATCATCATTTACTTCTATAATTTCTGTTTGTTCTTTTTCCTGAGGTTCAACTTTTTTATATTTAGGTGTATTCTTTTCACTCCTCTTTTTATCAAGTGGAGTTAAATAATAAGCCCAGTTTAAAAGATTTTTAATTTCATTCTCTGATTTTGTGTTATCACAACCTTCATCTGATTGTAAATCAACAAAAAACATTGGAAATTCAATGTCCTCTTCATCCCTTGTTGTTTCTTTAATAAGATTTAGTAATTCTGGATTTATTTTATCTTTCTTTGTTTTTATTTGTTCTTCTACCTCATTTTCTGATTTATTGTATGAACAATTAGTCCATACAATACATACATGTTTCCAGAAATCATCCACTGGAAAAATATTACAAAGTAATTTAACCATTCTTTTAATATTTTCTGACAGTATTTCTGTGTTGAAATTTAATACAATAATAACAGCTTTTGTTCCTTCTTGTTCTTTAAGATAGTCTATCATTTGGTTGAGTTTATTTTCATCCATTTCACCTGATTCTTGAATGCCAGGCGTATCAATGACAAATACATTGCTTTTATCATATCTTCCATTATACCCTATAGTCTCTTGTGTTGTTGGTTCAGAACCATAACCCACAACAAAACTGTTGTTTTCAAGAATAAAATTACCAAGTGAACTTTTACCATCGCCTATACCTCCAATCAAAAGTAAACTTGTTTCTTTTCCTTGTTGTGTGTTCATTGATTATTTTTTAGTTGTCATATGTTTAAATAGTAACTTACAATAACTGACTCTAATTACAACCTATTTTGAATGATGTTTGTTATTTTTATTTATAATGTCATGTAAAAATAAATTACTCTCAACTGAAAATAACACTAGCTAGAGTGTATTCATACAGATTTATATTTATAAAAAAATGAATGGAATATAACTTATTCAATGACGTTTAACATCATTTTTATAAATAATAATTAAATTATTTAACAACCAATCGACGTGTTTAATTGTTTTAAGTGCAATGGTTTATTTACAAAACAACAAAATAACATGATTTATATTTTTATTCATCATTAAACTAAAAATACAATAACACTACAATATTCGTATTAATTTATTAAATTACACGTTTACAAAAATGTTGTTTATTATATTTAATAAATAAAAAACAATCGATTAATATTTACCCTTTGAACCAGACAATAACATACTTACATAAGGGGGTAATATTTTAATATATTTATGGGGAATTAAAAAATTCATTTTTTTCAGTTAACTTACAGTAAAAAATAAATAGTTATTAAAATTAAAATATTCATAATAATAAACAAATAATATAACTCAATAAAATTTGAAATTTAACAGTGTTACAAAAACATACTATACTGAATGAAATTAATGTTTTTCCATTTGATTTGTAGTTGTGAATATTATTTAATAAAATGAAATTCTCACATTTTATAAACAGTGATGGCATTGAAATAATTTCATTCATATATATTTTATTATTTATTTCCATGAAAACAATAACAAGGTTAAAAAAAAAGATTAGTTAGTGTTTTGAATAACTCATTTTCATCATACTATGATTTATGCCTATAACATTAACCTATCACGACTAACAATCCCATCGGTGACAAATCCAAACATACTATCTCCAACTTCATTTAGTAATTTTTGAAATCCTTCTTTTGAAGTATCAGCAAGTTGTTGTATAATTGGTTTAAATATGATCCTACTGTTTATCTGTTTCCACTCAGTATAACTAACTTTTCCTCTATACGGAATTCTTTTTTCTCTTCTCTTCATATAAATTTTTAACTTTATGTGTTCTTTTTTTACTTCTATAATTTCTGTGAATTCCTTCTCTTCTTTAATGACCATTTTGTATGTGGCATCTGCTGTTTTTATTTTATCAACATTAATAGGTCTTAAACAACGAGCCCATCCTAACAGTGATTTAATTTCATTATCTGATCTAGTGTTATCTAAACGTTCAATTGGTTTTGAATCTACAAAATACATTGGTAAAACAATTCTTTCAACTCCTGTTATTTCTCTTGCAAGTTTTAATAATTCTTTATAATAATCCTGCTTTTTGATCTCTATATCTTGTTTTATTACTTCTTCTGGTGTATAATTATAACACTTAGTCCATACAATACATACGTGTTCCCAGAAATCACTGATTGGAAAAATGTTGGAAATTATTTCAATCATTGTTCTGATACCGTCTGATAATCTAGGGCTGTGAATACTTAAAACAATAACGATAGCCTGTATTCCTTTTTGTTTTTTAATATAATCTACCATTTGTTTGATATGTTCTGTATCTGTTTCTGCACCATGAGAATCTTGAAAACCAGGTGTGTCAATAACAAATACATTCTCCCGATCATTTTCTCCATATGACCCTATTGTCTCTTGTGTCTGTGAGTTTGGTTCACTGCTGACTCTAAAAGCATTACTTTTATCTTTCTTTTTCAAAACAAAATTACCAAGTGAACTCTTACCATCACCTGTTCCTCCAATCATTATCATTTTGGTTAGTTTTGGATTTTCACTTTTCATTGATTATTTTTGAGTTGTCTCTTGTTTAAATAGTGATGTTAAATGATATAAATCAACAACTATTTCTAGAATGATGTTTATTATTAAAAACATTTCAGTCATTTGAAATGACAAATCCGGTATTCTAAAATTGTTCTTTAAATTCATTCTTTGTGTAAACAAAAACAACAAAAATTCCTGTTTATCGAATTTTACATATACATCATTTTAATCATCTTGTTATAGCATAACATTTCTATTTTTAATATAATGTATTTTTATTTATTTTTAAACAAACACTGAAGGCATTCAAAAATAAATAAATTTTTTTTCGATAATTTAACGTAATATTTTACTTTTACTAATTGATTTGAAATTGAAACAAAACATTTAAACTAAAAGTAAACACTTTTTGCATTAAACTTATTTTTAAACTTATTAATTATTTTCAATTATTAAAGTTCTTTATTTTTATGTTAGTGATATCGTTTTTAAACATGTTCATGAATATTTCATTCTGTAAGTGTCTTTTCAGTTATTGTTATATTTTTTATTTATTTCTAATTAAAAATTTGTTGTTGAAAAATTGAATATTTTTCAAAACTTCTCCTCAACCAAAAACGTGGTATTTAAAATAAAAACAAAGACAATAATTACATATCATAAATAAATTTAAAAGCAAAATTTATTATTTTACTATTTTTAAGTTAAATAATTAAAACCGTTATTCTAGATATCCATTTTATCTAAACTCTTACAAAATTATTTCAAGTTACTTAATAGTAAATTAGCGTTATCATTTCATCCATCACATAACTATACATTGATATAGTTTTTGGGTTTCTTGTTTTGTTTTTATACCAACTTCTGTTTTATCACATATTTCTTTCCATTCACTACAGATAATTTTTCCGCTATACCCAATTCTTATTTCTCTTCTCATGGCTTTGACTTGTGGCACTCTATTTGTTTCATTTCCACCTAATTCTTCTCGACGACTTTTTTCTTCTGTGATAATTGCTTTATACTCAGGACCTCCTCTTCTCAGAATTTTCTCAACGTTAATACGATCCAAGCCTCTCGCCCACTTTAAAAGTTCTTCAATTTCATTCTCTGATCTTGTGTTATCCTTTCCTTCAAATGGTTGTGAGTCAACGTAATACATTGGAAATTCAATCGATTCTTCATCTCCTGTCATTTCTTTAATAAGATTCATTAACTGTGGGTAATAAGATTTTTCTTTACTCTGCTTATGTGTTTCTAATTCTTTTTGTGGTATATAACAATAGCACTTAGTCCATACAATACACACATGCTCCCAAAATTCATAAAATGAAAAAATATTACACATTATTTCAATCAATGTTTTTAAATCATTGGAAAGCATAACGTCATTATAATTTATGACAACAATAATTGCTTGTATTCCTTTTCTGTTTTTAATAGAGTTAACCATATCATTTAAAAATTTTTCATTCATTTTACTTGAATCAGAAAGATTAGGCGTATCAATAACAAATATGTTACTTCTGTCACCTTCTCCATTCGTTCCATTAGTTGTTTTAGTTTCTGGATTTGGACTATGACTTACTTTAAAAGCATTCTTTTTATTAAGAATAAAATTACCAAGCGAGCTTTTACCATCACCTGTATTACCAACTAAAAGAATTTTTGTTTCTTTTGTGTTTTCACTACTCATTGATTAATAGCCAGTTATAACAACAAGTTCTTTAAATACTAAAATTGTTAGTGTTTACAAAATAACTATTTCATAAATGATGTTTATTATTTTTATAATACAAAATTAATGAAACAAATATATTTATCGTATTTTAAAATAAAAAATCGGATATACCCCTTTATTTGTAGCTATTTTCATATCAATTCATTTTTAAATACTTAACTAAAAATAAAAAACGATAACCAGTAAAACAACGAAATTATAACATTACCTCCCTATTCATTATTTTACATGAGATTATTTCTTTATGAAATTGTTATGATTTTGTCGAAATAAAATGTGTTTATTTTTATCAACAGAAATTTATATTGTTTTTGTAATTTATTTTAGGGTTCTCTATTGTGCCTCTAACGTGCTACCTTTGAATCCACAACGTTATTTAAAATAATAAAAAATAAATAACATTTGATTTAACCAATAAAATAATAAATAAAGTGATGTATTATAAACGTGTATTTAATTATTTAATCATTTGGTTTTGATCTGATATTCATTAAATTAAAATGGAAGAGTTAATAAACAAGAACACTCATTTCTTTAAAGAAGAAATAGAAAAACTTCCAAATATTCAACAATCAATTGATGATATTAATAAACATTATCAATATTATTTAGGAAGTATTAAAAATGAAATATTTGAAATAAAAGCAGATGAAACATATTCAGAAGCTATTAAAAGAGGAGAAGGAATATTTGATAGGATTGATGAAACAGAAAGAAGAAGAAAACTAATAATAGAAAAAAGTCAAGAAACAATTAAAACAATAGAAATAATAAAGAATCAAATGAAGAAAATAATAGAAGAAAGTAATAAAGATGAAGAAATACTAAGTAAAACACGGAATGAAATAATCAATACAATCATTTCAATTGAAGAAATGAACATGAAAAATAAAATATTCAGAACACCAAAAGAAAGTGATAAAATCACGGAAGAGTTTAACAAAAAGAAAGAAGAATGGAAACCATATTACAGTGATTATCCTGAGGGGAAGAAGATAAATGAAGAAGAAGAAATGAAGAAACAAGAAGAAGGAGAGAGAAGAAAAGAAGGAGAAAGATTAAGAATAATGAAAGGAATGAATACAATGGAAGAAATGAAACAAATAGAAGAATGGACAAATAGAAGAGTATCCAATATATTATTTGATTCAGATATTGATAATTGGAATAAGAATACATCAGTATTTGATAAAAGAATAATGAATAAAGAACATATAATAATTATTATTGAAGATAGAGATGGAAATAAATTTGGAGGATACATTAATGTGAAAATTGATAAAGTTGATAAATATATAAATGATCCAAAATCATTTTTATTTTCATTAGAATCAAATGGAAGAATATGGGGAATGATGAAATTTGATATTAAAGAACCAGAGTATGCACTTTGTTTAGATAATCATTCAAGTGATTGGTTGTTTTCATTTGGATATGGCGATGATATTTGTGTTTATAAAGAAAATAATAAAACAAAATCATCTTGTAAACAATATTCATTTTCGTATAAAGGAATAGCAAGTGCACTTTCTGGAAAACAATATTTCACACCACAACGAATTATTGTAATTGAAATGAAATGATTTTTATTCATTATTATTTATTTGAAATATAAAACTAAAAAGAATATAAAATAAAACAATAAATGAATATGAACATTTCATTTATCAATCAATGAAATGATATTAATATCATTATCATAAAATGATAATCAATAAATAAATTAACATAAATATTATTTCATTCATTTTATCATTTATAATACTCTTTCATTTCATTATGATTATATTTATTCATTCTCTCTTTTGATTTATTCTCTTTACATTTCTTCTATTTAATTTCAAGTTAATTTCAAAATTAATTTAATTTTAATTTAAATAACAAAATATAAATAACAAAATAAATAAAAATAGAATAAATTTAATTAAAATAATAACATTTTCTTTTTATTATTTTTGTTTTATCTTTTTATAATTAAAACTTAAAAATAAATGAACTATTAATTAATTATCGTGGATCTTAATTTATTATTTATAAATAGATTTATAAAAAACAAAAAATTTTTAAGAACTTAAAAGAAAGGAATTTAAGATCAAAGAAAATGGAAAGTAACACACAACCACTTATTCCCCAACAAAATCATAAAAAATATCATACATACTCATTTATAACATGTTTTGCTGTTGTTGTTAATTATATTGTTGGT